TTTTTGCTATCCCTCAGAGAAAGCAAGAACACTGTTACACTGTTTGCATTAGAATCACACTGAATGTTATAACAGCACAGCTGACAGAAGCCACCCACAGGTCATAGCTGAGTAATGGATTTCATCCTCGCCAGCCAGAGCACTCCTCTTGTGTTTGTAATAGCTCCTAATACTTTTTTGGAGAAGGGGATGAGCACATGCACACATAGCTGTATGACTGAGTAATGTTTAGGACTTTCAGGCCTTACTTCTCATCAGCTATTCTTATCTCCTTTAGTCTACATTTTTTTCCTCTGTAAATATGAAAATAAAAATAAAACTGTGGCACCTGCCATCTGTAAAAATAAAATAAAAAAAAATGTAAGCACACATGGACTGTAGTTTCTCAATGGTAAGATTGAGGTCCCACCAGTGCAAATGTACCAAATATTTAAAACTAAATAAAAAAGCCTCTGTGACCCTGACATCTCGCTGTGATTCATGGCCATTGCAAAACACTGACGAACCACAGGGACACACACCACTTTGGAGAAAGAAATTACTAACCAAAAAAAAAAGAAAAACAAACCCTACCCTGGAAACCCCTAAGGCAGAATGAGAGAGTGTTTACTGTGAGTCGCTGGCCCTGCTATAATAAAAACTGATGTGTGCTGTTTTGTAATGTTTGGTTCAAAAAACACTTTGCGTGATCAGAAAAGCTCTGTCCCTACAAAGAAACATGCTGCTAGGACCATACTTGAGTGAGAACACATGTGTTACACAGGTATGAATATCGTGACAAATCGAGCAAAGAGCAAAAGTTATAACCAGATAGCAAAATTTGCTTTGTGCAAATCTATAGCCTGTCATTTGCACTCAGCTGGTTTGGAGAAAGAAGACAATTTGTGGTGGTAAGTATACAGTTAACTCATGATTGGGTCATTTTGCTTGTGGTCTTGCATAGAGGATGACTAACCGAGAAGTTAGATTGAGGCTGAAGACCCGCACCATGCGAACCAAGCTGAGCACCCCCTTTCTCACCAGGGATTGAGTGACTCTTTGTAGTAGTGCTAAAACTTGTTTTGGCTTATAAAACATGCAAATTAAACCAGAGGAAAGGGTTTGCATTTGCATGTTTTCTAAGCTAAAACAATTTTTAGCGCTACTATATAAAGTTTAGAACTCAACGCTCATTCTGATATTTTGAATTGAAAAACTTCCTGGATGAAACATCTTAAAACTTGGAAACCAAGTCCAATCGATTTGTTTATTTTTTTACTTTTTTGGAATGATTATGACCGGGATGACTGAAAATATTCACCAGCATACTGCTTTACAGTATATATCTTTGGGATAAATCGTTTCAGTTGCCCTCTTAGAATCTCATACTTTTTGTGCAAAAGAGAATTGTTTTTTTTCCCCCACAGTGTTTTATTTGGGTTACTTATTCAAACAAAATCTTTCTCAAACAGGTAGACTGCTGTGTCACTATAAAAGAAATAATGTTTTCCAAGTACATTATATTGTAGGTTAAGTGGTGCCTTTTTAAGTCTGCTTAATAAAAATGACTCACATTAATCTGTATTGTGAATTCTAAATAAAAACTATCTAAGCGAGGGAAAACTAAAGTTGATTTCTTTTTCAACAGAGTTTGGTATATTGGTTTGTTTTACTAATTGGAAAAATTTACAAAATAATCTTAAAACAGCTAATATCCCACAAAAGATTTAACTTGTGTTGATAGAGTTAACATTGTTTTGCTCCATAATTCTCTGATAAGTAAGAGGATAAGATGATCATTAATTCTTCAGAACAATATAAAAAAAAAAAAATGTCTGCATAAAAGGAATAAGAATTCGTTAAAGAACAAGTAGTCAACAATTTGACCTAAACAGGTAAAGCAGTCTTAAAATGCTCACACCTTAAATTGTTAGATACATTTTTATTTTTATATTGATGGGCTTTTACATTTTTATTTTCAAAACCTTAAGCTGATCCTCTGCCCGCAGTGAGTCTGAGATTATACCTAGATGTTTTCAAGTACACACAGCAGCAAGTAAAACTGCATCTGATTCATGTAGCAGCTCTATGGGTGTGTAAATACCCACCACCATTCTAGAATACATCTCTAAAAATATATTGTCCTTTAAATGATGTTTCTGGAGCTAGCAATATAGGATTTATCAACCAGTAAATTATATTCTCTCAAATATATTCCAATATATATATATATATATATATATATATATATATATATATATATATATATATATATATATATATATATATATATATTCATGAGTTTTTTAATATTACATCAAGCTTATTATTGCTCTACTTCTGCATGTTTTTTGTCTTTGATAAAGTCATTTTGTCTTCATTATATGCCAAACAGCAAAATATATTCAGCTGTTCTTGCTTATGTTTTTTTACTCTTGTCAGGTGCCTGCATCCACTCATCAGGGCCAGATTATTCTTGTTCTTTCTAGCCAGAGAGAACAAGACCTATTCAGCTGACCTGTTCTGCTTCTCAACCACTGAGCCTGCCTGTTCCCATTTCAATGGTTTGCCTGAACTGTGGTTGGACTCCTGGATCTCTGAGCCTGCCTGTTCCTGTTCTAAACTGTTTGCCTGACCTGGCTTCGGACTCCTGCATGTTCTCTGCAGCATCTAGGACACTCTGGGCTGCTCCCGCCGGCATCTTGTTAGCAACTCACCGGCTGGATCCTATCTGCTAGGACATCTACTTCAGATGTCCTAGCAGCTGTTGTCACAGAACTGTTTATTTTAATAAATACTTTTTGAGTAATCCCACTGTCTGTCGTGCCTGATTACCATGTCCCTCTGTTCTAAGTCATGACAAAAACTTGGAATTTCAAGAAACAATTCACCAATCATTAATTTTCCCAGCCTTGAAACCTAGATCATACACATTAACTGGTATCTGTCTAACTGTTTTACGAATAATATGCTATTTATATTGAATTTACTGATAAATTAATTGTGTACTTGAGTGATGCACATCACCTAAATTGAATCAACAAAGCCATGACAACAGCCAGGACAAAGATTTACCACTTATAAATATCCCAAAAAGGCAAGAATCATAATGAACTAAGTTTCTGGGCTAGTTAGTAGAGGTAAAAATGCTTCTTCTCTCTTAAAATTTTTTCTTCTAAACATTTTTTTGGAAGACACAAGGATGTTGTGCTACATAGCTGGCATCACTGATTAGGCACGGCTTAAATGAGCAATTACACATTTGTATGGAAGAGGCACAAGTTAGATATTTTTTTTGAAAAGTGAATCTCTTTAATCCAATCATATATTAGCAATGCCTATTTTTCCTTTTGGAGTGTCACGAGAGAGTGCATGGGATCCCCAGCTGACACAACTGTATTTGCCTTTAAGGCAAAAGCAGCAGAAGAATGAGCATCGACCCTTTCAGACTGTAATGCCCCTGGAAATTTGGGGAACAAATAAGTTGCTTGTTGAGCAACTCTGTGAAGAAACATTGTGCAAACCTCAGAAAAAAGCTGTGAAGCGGGAAACATTCATTGAACACACAGATATTTATCAATGACTCTTTGCAGGAATTCAAGGCTAATGAGTGTAGAACCCACAGCCTATTCATCTAGTGGCATTGTGTGATTAAGCTTGTTACCATATGGAAGCGGATTGTGAACATTCATCATGTCATTCTTTAAAAATAAAGGCTATTTCTCTGATCTTCATGTTAACAGACATTGCTACTGGTGGTTGTTCAAAGTTGACAGAGAATACAGTCAAGCTAAAATTATTCATTACACAAGAACATGTAAGCTAAGGTTTCTTGGGGCTGGAAGAAATATTTTAGAGAATTATATTAGTTTGACTTCCTATACATTGACACAGATGTAGGGAAAAAACTGTAGTGGTGAATTTAAACAAAGTTCTACTACAATCAGCTATTTACAAATCTTTTTTTTCAGCTACCGACAGCCTTAAAAATAAAGAATAAATTGTACTTTAAAATAAAGATTTGCTATACCTAAGCTGTTGAAATCAGACCAGCACCAAGTGAATACAGTGCTTATCAGTATTATCAGTAAGTATAAGTAATCATAGATATGGCTTGATACTTTTTAATAATGTAGAGATACAAAAAGTATCAAAACTTTTATACAAAGATTTTAAAATTTTAACAGACTTTTTAAAAAGGCCCGTGAAGACTTAATTGCAGTAATCAATTTCAGCTAAAGCTAAATGTATTAAGATTTTCAAGATACTTCTGTGACATTAAGAGTTTGATCCTGCACCATTTTTTCCTCCTTAGTGATAGTAGAAAGACTTTGGGCAACATTAAAACAAAACGGATGGGGGTGCTTTCTCTATCAATACTGAGTTAGAATTAACATGTCAAGTGGCAGCGACCTGGCTGTGTTCTTTTTGCGTGCATACAAAGTGGAATAGGAACTAAAATACCCATCTCACCATGCCAAAATTAATCTAACACCTATACCTTGTAGCTGTATTCAGAATTGGACAAGTATTCAAGAATTGGACACTATATATATGTATGTGTGTGTGTGTGTCATTGTTCATTATTCATTGTTTTGACTGCATTTAAGAAGTCTTTTTCAATTGTTATTTACATTTAATTGCTGCTATCTTAAAGGAAACCCTTAAATACATTAACCCAGTTACCCCTAAAATTTGAACATTCCTTAGAGACCTTTTTAAGGAACCCTTAGACCCCATTTTTCCACTTTTTATTAGCCTTTCTTTTACTTTGTGCTTATTCTAAGTAGTGTTTAGTGTTTGCAAAGCTATGTCTGTTATAATTATTTGACTAATAATTATTAATTGGTTCTACCTTTGAATTGAATGACTTATTAATTAATTAACCACATCTGCTAGTTCTGTTTATTTGATATATTCATAATCTGCTGGTAAAATTGCACAAGGTAATTATTAATAACTTCTGGAAGCTTGATGATTTATTTTCAAAAGTTATAATGTAGAAGGTGTTTTCAACTTACCTGATGATGACATACATAACAAGGAAATTCCCCACAAGGCCAATGACGCAGACAATCATGTAGACCACAACAATGGTGACCTTCACGCCTGTTGGCAGCAGCGCATCTGTCCCATTGTTGCCACTGCTGAAGTTGTGGTGAAAAAATGAGTCATTGAAGTACTGCAGGTCAGCAAGCAGTAGCTCCTCTGGGAAATCCATCTCTGGCTGAAATACAGAGGCCTGTCCTGGCCAAAGAAAGAAAAAAAATAAAGGAAGTTTGAGACATTTAAATTTGGGTTAACTCGAGAACCACTGCAAACATTTATATTTGTGTATTGTTTTGTTTTTTTTATATTACTGCCTGATATTTTTCTATATCTTTTTTATCTTAAATCACCCCATCGGTTGAAAGTTACATAAAAAAAACAATATTGTTCATTGCCTTACAATAGGTTGTATGTATTTACTTTAATGGTATAGGTTGTATGATTTTGTTGTCAGCACATTCAATGTATATTAAATGAGAATATTTCATTCATTTTATTTGAGTGTTCCCTTTATTTTTTAAACAATATATCCTGGCATGCCTATCACTGCCCCTGCATAATTAGGGACAAATGCAGAGGACAAATTTCCCACTGGGATCAGCATCAAAGTCATGGTAGGTCAGTTCTTTGATTTTACTTTGGAAAATCTTTTGGCAATTAATCTACTAAGATTTGGAACAAAACCTCACGAAACTCAAGTATTTTTTTATTCAAATTCAATTAAATTGAAACAGCTGAAATAATTTTGAAAATCAGAAAAAAACTGCTTAAAAATTCAATTACATTCAAATTAGCGTGAAAATGAAATAAGCCTATATAAAATCTAATAATTTTACTCACCTTTCAAATATTAATTTAGAGTATTTTTTATTTTATTTTTTGCTTCTACTGGCTAATTTAAAGTAAGCTAGGCTACATGCTGGCAATGAATGAGTTAAAACTAGTCTAACAGGTCCATCAAACTATTTACCATGATCGGACAACAGGCATTCTGCATGTTGTGCCGAGAGTTACCTGCCTGCCGAGAATTACCTCCCCTGTCGCGGGAGCTTGCATCGCCCTAAACTCACGGCCATTGCTGAGAAAAGGAATTGAAAAATATGAACAAAAAGGGAATTTTTAAACATATTCTTAATGTTTTCATATTTCTTATACATGGATGCCTTAAAATTGATAGTTTTGGTGGACAGATAAATTTGAGTTAATAGGATTTTACTTGTATGGAGACACGTTTCAGTCGATTTGCTACAGTCAGTGTACAATGAATAAATTCCCTGCTCAGTGGAAGCCAATTCCCCATTTTGCTATCAACAGCATTCTGGATCATTTCTGATACGTTATTTGTTAAACTTAGAACTTGGAACCTGCCGAAGATCCCCCCCCCCCCCTCCTTATTTTCACATTTATTGTCCCAGACGTATGAAATTTGTACCACAATAAAGTGTCTTGCCCAAGGACACAACAACACTGAAAGTTGGAGTCGGGGCTTGAACCGTCAATCCTACATCCAACACCACTGTCGCCAATCACAGAGAACAGGTATGATTTTGTGGTGAAACTTGCATAATTGTAAACACATTATTTCTCAAACTAAGCAGGGGAGGGAGATCTCGGCAACTAAGAGCCTAGAACCTGTAGAAGATTCCCTCCCCTCCTTATTTTCACATTCCCTTGGCCTTGATGCTGTTCAGAACACCGTCACCTGCTCCGCTGGTTGCGCCTCTGAGGTTGAAAACAAAATCGCATGTGCCCACTGCGCCACCGTAATTTGGTCAGGCTACTCATAAGCACACAGCCTGCCAAATGTTGAAAAGAGAAATATTATTGCCATTACTGTGAATATGTAATAGAAATTTACACATTCAGTGATAAAATGTCACAGGGGATGGTATGGGGGACATGGTCATTTAAAAAGGGGGATGATTTTTAAGATTTTTTAAAAATTCTAAATTTCCCCACTTTCCTTCTATCTGCTTTTCATCTTTGTACTAAATATTCTTTCTGTTATAATTTGTGGACACTACGATCTAAAGGGAAGCATTATCACATGGTTAGACCCTGAAATTCAGTGAAAGGGTGGAGTCAGAGTAAAAAACTATGCACGTCCAGGACAAAGGCCACTCGCTCGAAGTTGGAGTTGATTTTGCTGCGAGCTGCAAGGAAATGGGCTGCCATTCAGCTGGCGTATCAGACCTCCTTCTGTGTACACATGCACCTCCCACCAACAACGTCAGCTATTGCCTCAAATACAATGTAATTCTGTAGGAAATACTGCAACACCCCTGCACACTGTCTGCATTAGCAATACATCAAAAGTATGCCATGAACCTACCACCCTCTCTCTGCTAATCATGAATATTCATTCAACAAAGTAACTGCACTGTGTAGCTGAATTTCCCTTGGGTTACTGCTCAGCTTCATATACATGTGTTATATACACCCAATATGTCTTTCTCTTTACTCTTCCCTCCATTCCTACACTCTTTTCTCAGCATTATCGTCCTCTCTTTATGAATTAATTTCTCCTCTTCGTTTCTCTATTGCTTGCCAAATTTCTTAAGTTTCATATAAAAGGTTGTTTTTTTTTCCCCAGGCTACTGCACCCTTTGCTGCTGCACCTGTGTGCAAGTGTTTTTATGATGGGGTGTTTTGGCTGCTTAAGCTTTGAAGAGTGAGGAGTTAAACGCAGAGTCTTTTGTGTGTTTCCATGTAAGGCTGCAACACCGTGCTGGGTGGGCTTTTGTATACCACTTTTGGTACGTGTGAAAGGACAAAGACATACTAATGACACTAATGTTTGTGTAAGCATGAGTGCTCTCAGTTAGGGTTGTCATCTTTCACGTATAAAAACAAGGAACGCCCACAGTCTGCTTATAGTAAAGAGGTGATCTGGAAATGAAGTTATCCAAACAAAGCTTAAAATTTTAGCAATTGAAAATGAATCGAATAACATTCCTCCCTATAAAATAATATATGTAATATCTAAAATATATCATACATAAAACAATGTGTAAATTATAATAAAGTGTCTGAACATCATTTAGTTATTGCACAGGTAACAACTTAAAATATGTCTACTGTATAACCTACCACAATAGCACTTAGCAGTGGTCAGTATGTGTATATTGGGTACTTAAAAACTTTTAAAATATATACTAAATATTAAATATTGTCAGAACACCATCAAAAAACTTCTGTATGAGAGCTACAGAACAAGCAGCAAACTCGTCTGCCGCCTACATGGCAGTAACTGTCCTTTGTTTAATCTGTAGAAACCAAACACATGTTTGATGTACTATTTTCCTACTCTCACTATGATTACTCTTAAATGGCCATTATATTGGCTAATATACAGATTATTTATTAAACAAATGATAATAAACTCCACATAACAAATAGAACTAGATATAATATTCCATTCTAAGAAATGGTCAGGGTATAATTAACTAATACTTGGGGTTCAGTGTTGCTATGTGTCTAAAATGTTTTTGTCCAGCTGACTGAACAGCCCTCTGTTCACAAAGATCCCAACATGAAATATTAAAGGAAAAGTCCGGTCAGCAAGGAATAACCAATGGGTCATTATGTATACCTAAATCTAATACATTTGCGGTGACGTCACAGTGCACCCCCCCCTTTACAAGCAAAATCTGTGGGAACTATTTGACACCCCTGCAATGAACAATGATTATTTAAGAATTTAAGATTTTCAGAAGACTTCACTATTGAAATTCACCAGAGATATAGTTAAACTGACAATGCCCTTGTGCATGGCAGCTAGATGTTGTAATGCAACGGGTAAAAGTGAAAAAATAAAAAAAATTTATTTCACCTTCCACTTGAGGTGGGAGGATTTTCCATTGAACTTCTAGCCAGAGAAGAAACACTTTCTTAATCTGTTACTCACTGCTTTGCATAGTGTACTTGTCATCGCCATCATGGATAATAGCGCGTTCTGGCAAAGAAGCACTGGTACTTGCTCAACAGCCGATACCGCACAGTGACATGACAAACCGGTAGGTGGCAGTAGTGTTCTTTGACAAATATGTCTACAGATGTCTCAGGTAAAGCACATTCAAATGAAATTACTCTTAATTCAAAACACTTATAATTTATTGAAAAGTATGTAATAATTTCATACTTAAAGTACATTGAGAAGTTTGTATTCTGAATATGACTGGACTTTTCCTTTAAATAAATTTCCTCATCCCTATCCCCACTGACATCACTCAGCCAGGGATTTGCTTCTTTCCTCTCACATCTGTACTTTTAAAGAATTTCCTACTTAGGAAGTGGTAAAGAATCAGGTGTATCTGGGTAACAGAGATCACTATTGGTCAAGGGAATCCGTCTCTAGGCAACCGTGACAGCAGTTGATACCAAGCTGAGGAGGTCCTGCTTAGAAACCACTAGGATAATTTAGTTTGATTTGATAGTTATTGTTTGATTTTACACTTTTTTTTCTCAGATTTAGTATGTGCATAACAGACATATGTGTAAGACATTTATGAAAGTACGTGACTTATCGCATCATTATTAGATGCAACATTTAACTATCCAATAAAGGGTGAAGGGTGTATGTAAACGTCTCACTAAGAGTGTGAACTAGTTGTTCACAGATTTGCTTTGAGGAACACACAGAATAACATGTTGCACTTGAAAACACATTTGATGTGCCAACTAATTAATGTTCCCACTTTCACATTAAATTTGTTTAATAAAAAAAAAAAAAATCCCCTCTGTCACATGGAATTTCTTTCACCAGCAGTGGAGAAATTAATGGATAAAAAACCCTGGAATTACCTTAAGAGATTGACACATGCCATTTTTATTGGTTACAGATTATATTTACATATTTTTTTATTTTAGTTCAGGTACATAAAACAGTTTTTTTCAGTTCTTGAACTATGGCATGGTGAAGTTGCTTAAAAATAAAATAAATAAAATATAAATTTTTTCAAGACAAATCTGATAATCTTTTCTTCCTTTAGTGTCATTAAAATAAATTGCAAATAATGAAAAATCACTTAGTTTCATTTAATCATCCCTTCTTGTAGATGCAGCACTATGCTGTCTTAATATAACAAATATTTTTAGTTAAACTTAAAGCGGAAAAAAAAGCTTCACATGTTCAAGATCACATTGTGATTGAGATTGCGACAACTTTTTACCACTGTTCATATATCCAATAACGATGC